CTCGCCGGCATGTTCATCCATCCAGAAGATTGTCAACTTGTTGGGTCTCTGCTCCAAAACCGGATCGACCCACGTCCACGTATTTCAGCATAGGATCAATAGCCTGTTCTCTTTTCAAGAACAACGTGTGGTAAAAAAGAAGAGCCAAATTACACCACCGTGGACCCCAAACAGTTTGCGCTTTTCAAATCGAAACTAGAGCTTGCGACGCCCAGAGCTGGGAGACAAAGGATTGCGTACAGAGCGGGCGGACACATCTTAAGAAAGAATTGACAAGCCCCAACAGCAAACCTTTTGGGGAATTATTCTTCAAGTGCGAACATGATGCTGGTCATGCTGCTCAATCAGCGGGGAGCTGACCACGTGAGGACAAGAAATAAAAGCATGAGGAGCGAAGGACGTGACATGAAACTGGTTTTTGGTGCCTGACGTATGCCCTCCGTCCCAACTGAACGCCGAAATCCAATCCGGTCATTCATCCAACGCTTGCCCGAAAAGGAAAACAAAGCTGAGAGAGTTACACAGTGTGGCAGGAATGCAATCCCGGAGACAATCACGCACCCCTTTCAAAGGAGCAAGAACCTTTCACAGGTCAACCTGTTCCAGCGGACAGGGCAGAAAACACCAACGCAGCAAAAAGAAAGAAATCACATGGGAGACAAATGAATAGAAATGCCTGGGAGACAAGTGAATAGAAATGCTACATGGCCAACGGAAAAGGGCGGACACCAGCAGTAACGGACCTGGGAGGCAAATGAATAGAAATGCTTCATGGCCAATAGACAAACACACACCAGCGGACGCAAGAATAGAAATGCCAGCGGAAAAAGGCGGACACCACCAGTGACAGGCCTGGGAGACACATGAATAGAAATGCTGCATGGCCAACGGACAAGGACGGACACCAGCAGTGACAGACTTGGGAGATGAATAGACATGCTGCATGGCCAGCGGAAAAGGGCGGACACCACCAGTCAGACCTGGGAGACAAACGAATAGAAATGTCGCATCGCCGGCGGAAAAGGGCGGACACCAGCAGTGACAGACCTGGGAGACAAATGAATAGAAATGCTACATGGCCAGCGGAAAAGGGCGGACACCAGCAGTGACAGATGTGGCAGACAAATGAATAGAAATGCTACATGGCCAGCAGAAAAGCCAGCGGAAAAGGGCGGACACCAGCAGTGACCAACCTTGGAAACAAATGAATAGAAATGTTGCATCGCCAGCGGAAAAGGGCGGACACCGCAAGTGACAGACCTGGGAGACAAATGATGAATAGAACCAGCGTCCAAGGGCGGGCCGGCAGTGACAGACCTGGGAGACAAATGAAGAGAAATGTTGCGTGGCCAACGGAAAAGGGCGGACACCACCAATGACAGACCTGGGAGACAAATGACTTAAGGCCAGGGGAGGAGGTCGAAAGCTAGCCGAATTGCACCGGATGTACTAGTTACATAGTCGGCAAAGCATGTAGTGATTACATGTTTTGGGAGAAAGGTTGCTACGTACACACTTTGCGCTGAAGAATGTAAATGTGACATCGCCGACTGGGAAGGGTACATTGGAACAACACGGGCGCACTCGTTGGCAGGCACGAAGGGGGGTAAATTTACCCCCCGCTTTTGTATGCCTTGAGTCGAAAAGAGGGGTAAGCATTTCTGACATCACACGGACTGTACATACACTGGGCGTCCGTAGTGTAGGAGAAGCACGGGTAAAGGGTATATGGAATATAGAGTGTCTTGAGGAAATAGCCGGCTTATGGTTATTGCAATTCTGGTGGTTAATTTTTTAAAATTTACCCACCGCTTATGTATGCCTTGTGCCGGAAAGAGGGGTAAGCATTTCTGGATATTTCTGGCATCACAAGGACTGTGCATACACTAGGGCGTCCGCAGTGTAGGATAAGCACTGGTAAAAGGTATAAGGAGTAGAGTGTGTTGAGGAAATAGCCGGCTTATGGTTATGGCAACTCTGGGGGGTAAATTTACCCCCCCGCTTATGCATGCATTAGGTTAGAAATAGGGGTAAAGAACTTGTAACAGTGAAGTACAAGTCCGGAGACAAGCCAGCCGGGAACCCGACCACAAGCGCCCAGGGAGACAAATGAAAAGAAGTTGGAGACAATTGAAAGGAAGTGGGAGACAAGCCAGCCGAAAACCCCAC